TGGCGGCGAAGGGCTGGGGTTGGAAGAGGGAAGTTTTGTGGTTCATTTGGCACTGGTATTGCCTGAATCGGGGGTCGGAGCTGAGAGGAATCAGCTCAGAAAGTCGGCTCGTTCCCCTACCGAATCCAGAAGATTCTGGGTTTATAAAATTTGAAATTCGAGATATTTACGGTTATGCCACTGAACTTCTTTTGCTCGTAACTCCTTCGTTACAACTCCGTTTTGAGTCCACTACATGTCTACGGACTCATTTTGTCGCGCTCTACGCAAGAATACAACTGGAATCCTCAAATTCCTTCCCGGTCAAAAAGTCAACTTTTAAACTAATAAAATATTCTAGGGGTATTTTAGTCTTTTTCTCAAATAAATTAATAATTAAATATTAATTTTGGGTTTGGGTTATTACATGACTGCCACGTATTGATGCAACAATTGCTATCGGTTGTAATACGTGGTGTGCTGCCTAAGCATGTTAGATATGCAATAATGAGGTTTTGCTTCTTCTTCAATGATTTATGTAAGAAAGTGGTGAATGTACCTAAGCTAGATAAGATACAATCGGACCTTGTGGCTACATTGTGTTTGCTGGAACAATTCTTTCCTCCATCGTTCTTTGATGTTATGGTCCATCTAACGGTGCATCTTATTAGAGAGGTTTGTTTGTGTGGACCAGTTTTTTTTGTAGATGGATGTACCCTTTTGAAAGGTACATGAAGGTATTAAAGGGTTATGTACACAGTCGTATGTATCGAGAAGGTTGTCTCATTGAACGCATTCTTGTGGAAGAATCTATGGAGTTTTGCTCAGAGTTCATGGATGATTTAAGTGCAATTGGGGTTCCTACATCACGCTTGCATTTAGCAAATACTAGTACATCTTTATCATGTTCATCTATAGAATCTGTGCCCCTCGAAAAATTGGACCAAGCACATCGAACTGTCTTGGATAATACAGCTGAAGTTGATCCTTATATTAAGTAAGTTATCATAATCCAATTATTCTGTTTTCTTAAGTTTATTTTATGGATAAGTCAAACTTTAACATTAGATGCTTCTATGTGCACTGTAATTTTTACAGTG